TAAATAAAAAAATTAAATGAAAGGATCCCAGGAATTAATATGAAAGCTTCTCCACGTTTCTTTTTTAGAGACTGTTGGAGGTGAAGTAAAAGGAAAGAGTGACTTGGGATTTGGACCTTACTGGTTTAATAACCCCATGTATGGTAAGAGTTTTTCATGTGTGTGTGTGTGTGTGTGTGTGTGTGTGCAGGGGGATGTCTTAGCCATTTGCCACTTGTCTGTCTTTGGCCAAAGTTAGAACTGAACCGTTTAGAGAATGTACTCAGTTTGGATCCAACACCTACTCCCCAGTAGGGCCCATCATACACCTTTCCATTCCCACCCTCTGTGTCCAGGACCCCCTTTCCCTTCCCCCAATCAAAAAGCTGTCCTGGTTTGAAGAAAGAAATCTTTATTAATAATCTTAATAATAATACTGTTAATTTGAATGGTCACACCTTGGAAGCATACAGAATGGTAAGAAAGGAAGTTGGGGGCTCAGTTGCAGTCCTAGAAGGGAGGAGGGGAATAAATTTAGGGGGAAGAGGGGCTTGGGAGGAGGCTGCCAAGAGAAAAGGATTCAGTACAGCAGATGGAAGGGGTGGGGGAGCTTTATACAGAAGACAAATGGCCAGAGGTAGGGACTGGGTTCTATGTACATCAGGAATAGAAAAGGAGAATTCCATTTCGATAGCTTCAGGCGCTTATGCTGAATATAAAGTGAGGGTTTTGTTTTTTGTTGTTGTTTGATTTGTTTTTAAGTTTCATGAGACAGTAGAGCAATGTTGGGAGCCTATTTCCCCCCCCCCCCACCTTCCTTTCGGCTACTCCAGTTGTCCTTACCCTGGCAGGGGCTTCCTTTTCCCCTCCCTGCCATCTGTTATTTGTCCTTACTACTTGCTGCTAGGCAAGGTCCCTCTTTCCTTGCAGGTGCTCCAGAAGGATGACCTGTTGCTGCCGCCACTACTTTGAAATCCAACCACAATACCAAGGGTAGTAACTGAGGGTCAGGACTGAGACTCCATTGTGGGGTTGAATCAGCTCTGAACCTCTCTTCCCCTCAAACTGCCCCTGGTTCTCCTCACAGGTTCCTTTCCCTGGCTATGGTTTCCTAGACCCATAGCACCATGATACCTAATCTTGCTGATAAGTTGCACCAGTGGAGCAGATGAAGATCTTGAGTTAGGCTGCCCCCTTCCTTCTCCTCTGCCCCCAGCAGAATCAGACCCTTACAGCTACCCCTATCTATTTTCCACTCAGCTCTGTCCAATCCCTCCTCCAGCCACTTGCCCCTTGGGGCCTCCAAGGGGAATGGATCTTGAGCAGCTGGTAGAGAGCAGAGCACCAGATAGCAAAACTAGAGAGATCAACTTCAGCCACCAGAACAAACCTGTTTTGAACCCCCACTGAAAGGCTCCTACATTTATTTCAACTCTTGCCTCTTCTCCAAGCCTTGTCTTATAGGATTGCATATGGTAGAGGAGGAAAGTAGTTCTGAAAGAGGAGGCATGGCTGCAGGGGACACCCACCTTTCAAAGTTCTTACATAAGAGGAACACTGGGTGTCCCCTTTTAGCCTGGGTCTCCCAGACAGAGACTGGGCTTGTTCTGTTCTGCTGTCTGGGAGCCAAGAGAGTGAGTGGCTGGAGGAGAAATCTGTGGACTCTGGCCTTCCTGGAGTCCCGCCAATGCTTTTTTATTTTTATTTTTTTAAAGGAGTTGGCACTCGAGGACTGGTGGTCAAATAACATTCAGGCAAACTGTAATGTGATGCACTGCTCAGCACATCGCTTTCAGTAGGATGAGGGCAAGGGCATTTTCTTTGCCAGCACAGCATGGGGAGCTCAGACCCAGAAAACTCAACCCATGGATGACTAAGCATGCACCAAAGCCTGAGTTCCCTGGGAATGCAAAACTGCCTTTGCTTCTCCTCCCCTCCCCTCTTTTCTCTGCCCCATCCTTCTTGATTCAGCTGCTGCCAGCCCCAACTCTTTCTTTTTGCATCCTATTCCCAAGCCACTTGGAACAAGATCACTATATCCTGTTTTTTCTGTTCTTCCATCACTCTGCCCTATCAGTCCCTACACCACCCAGGAGTGAAGGGAGACTGAGAGGAAAGCACAGTAGCAAAAAACCCGCTATCTTTGGGGTAGCAAAAGCTTGGCTCTCACCCCCCTGACTCACCCTCATAAGCCCAAGAAAGAAGAGGGGTCCCCCAACGTGACTGCCAGCTTAGGGAAGGGGTGAGAGGCGGAGGTTGGGGAAAGTCTCCCCCTTGGTGCCGTCAGGTTGGTGTTCACTTTGTGGGTGCGGGGTACACAGCGCCTCCTGCTGGACTCTTCTTGCTGGGCGCCTGTGTGTGGCCTCTATGTGGGACTTGTCACTTGGTTGATCACTTCTTTTCTCTGTTTTACGTTGTGTTGCTTTCATTTTAAAATATTTTTAGGGTTTTTTTGGCGTTGTTTTTGTTTTTGTGTTTTTTTTCATTTTGTTTTTTTTTTTATTTGTTTTTGTTTTGTTTTGTTTTGTTTTTGCCCTTCACGGTCCAAGAAGAAAACAGCAGATTTCACTACAACAGAAACAAAAAAGCCAAGCTTGCACAGTTTCACAGATGCAACACACTGTGTGCAAAGACAAGGCCACAGAGGCCTTGGACACAGGGGGGGGCCTTTGAACCCAGAAGGAGATAGTGAGATAGTGTGGGGAAGAGTTGGTGTTCCCTGGCTTGAGGCAAATATTTACTTTTTTAACAAATTAAACTGCCCCAGGGGTCGAGGGGAGAACAGTGGACCCCATTGCCCCAGCTGAGGTTCTCACCCCCTAGTCCTTCACTATATACATACATACATATTTCACCCCCAGACCCCCAGGAGGCTGCTGGCTTTACATTTGAAATGTTGGATTTTTACTTATCCTTCAACTCTTTCTAGGGTTGGTTGGATATGGAGTGAAGGGATAGGAAAGTAGGAACTGGGAGCTGGAGGTCAGGGAGGGAGACAAGACTATGGCTAAGCTCTGGGTTATCTAGAACATGGAGAAGCTAGAAGGAGCTAAGCTGGCATAAAAGAAGCAATTGTAGCTGACTGATTAGGACAGCAAGGACTGAGGGGCGTAACAAAAGGTGGAGAAGGGGCTGGAAACAAGGGCATGTGGGAATAGTGTTCAGCAAACAGAACGAGAATGTGAAAAAGTGGTGGTAAATATGTGGCAGAAGGTGAATTTTAACAAAAGAGAAGAGACAAATTGGACACCTGAGAGAGGAGTGATGGGAAGGGAAGTATGAGAACAGTTTTCCAAACAGGGATGTATGTGAGGGGGTGGGGCAGGGTGTTTATAGCAGAAGCTAAGTCCCACAGCTGGTAGGGAGCCTTTGTCCCTTCCAGACACCAGGTGCCTTAGCTTTCCTCAGTCAAAGATGAAAAACCTCCTGCCATGCTTACTCCCATTTGGGGGATGGTCATAAAAAGGAAAGGGGGAAGAAGAGGGGTATAAGCATTTATTAGCACCTACTACTGTGCTAAGCACTTTATAAATATTATCTCACTTGATAAAAAGGCTCAGGGAGTAGCTTATTTAAAATCCATGGATGATATAGAAAAAAAAAGGACCCCTTGCCTTGGTTGGCCCCCTCTAAACTCCCTGAAAGGAGTTTTCTGTATAAAAACTAGAACCGAAAAGCTAAGCTTTCTCATGAACAACATGAAGTTGCAATGGAGCCTGGGTGAGATCCAGGACACTTGAGTTTTAGTTTTGATTCTGCTGCTCACTTGCTGTGACATCTCTGGGTTTCACATTCCTCCTGTAAAATGAGGAATTTTGAAGGGATGACCTTTTAGGGATCTCTTCCAGGTCTAACATTTATGAATTGGCCAGAGGGTCTCCAAGCCATGATCTGTGTACTGTATTGTAGGGCTGGGCTGGACCAGGCTAGGCAGATCTCTGTGGCCATGTGAATACATTCCTTAAAAAAAAAAATCTATCTGCATTAAAGTTAGAGGTGGTAGGAAGGGGAGCTGGATTCAGGGAGTCAGTCCTGAGATGAGCCATCCAGCAGTGAGGAGTCCCTATATAAGAAGCTTAATTTTTGAAGGGCAAAGTGATACAAATACTCAAACTAAAGACTTTTTTTTTGAGCTTAGGCACAGGAAGGGAGATGCTTTGGCTAGGCAGCACACACCAAGGACAGAGCTGGGAAAATAAAATCTGCCACTTTAGGAGGGGGCTAGGGAATCTCCACAGCTAGGACGCTGATGGCTTTGTTTCTAGGTCATAGGACAGAGGAGAGATTTGAGGATGGTTATATAGGGGAACTGTAAGGCATATGGACAGATGCAAGGAACTAGGGAAGGGAGAATTCATTTCCTTTTTCATCTCTTGCAAAGAACACTTTGGCCAGGACATTATTATGACTTCCAAAGGGGCTGGAATCTATATAATTCAATTTTTTAAAAATTTGTATCAGCTGAGAGAAGAGATGAGGAAGACCAGATATAGGGAGGGAAGGAAAGAGAGAGAGGGAGAAGCAGAGAAAGATAAGAGGTTGATCTAAGATGGAAGAGAGGACAGGAGAGTGCTGATTCCCTTTTCCTACCCTTCTCTTCATGGAAAAGATTTCTTCTAGCAGTTTCAAGATCCTTTGGGCAGAGATGGGAGATAACTAGCTGTAGAGTGATAAAGCACTGGGGCAAGGACCAGAATGGGAGGAATGGACACCTAAATGAACTGTGAAACCTGGAGAATGGTATATGGTCTGTGGCCCTGACTCCTTTCACTAAGATTCCCTAACTTCAGCCTGTTGATGGAAGAGTAAAGATGGAATAGGGTGGAATTAGGGGGATTGGCCAGGGCACAAGGCCCTTTAATTAATCCTTTGGGGATAGCTGTGAGTTGAGGGGTCAGAGTCATGGGGAAGGTGGATCTTCTGACTCCATGCTCAACTTCTTGATTCTCTCCCTTCCCCTCCTACCCCCCCTCCCATGGCCCCCAGTTTGTATACCATACCTTGATGGTTTGGGAGTAGAACAACACCGACAAACTCAATACAGGAAATTAGTTACAAACATACAGGTACAGTCATGGACAAAGACACACACACCACCATGGGGCGGGGAGAAACAACTGGAGGTAAAAATCTATGGTTTTAGAGTCGCGGAGGGTCAGCGGTGAATGTCCCTGACCCGGTGGGGCAGTTTGTCTTCCCGGAGGATCTGCCTGGTGTCTAGTTTGTTTGGTTTGGTTTGGAATAAGCAGTCAGTGTGAATGCTGTTAGGGGCTGGGTCTCTTGCTAGTAGGGGGTGAAGCGGCTGTACCCTCCTCGGCAGAGGCTAGCCTGCAACATCAAAGATGAAAAACAGCCAATCAGTATTGTCTTTTGGTAGGAAAAAAAAAATCAAAAAAAGGAAAAAGAAAAAAGAACGGAAAAAGAGAAATAGCCAAATCCCATTTTCTTCCCCCATTGTTTTTTTTTTCCCCTCCATGGAAGAATAATTGATAAACGGTATATGATAATTTGCCATGGCAACAGGGCAGTAGAGGCCAGGTTGTTTTTTTTTCCCTTCAATGGAAGAATAATTGATAAACAGTATATGATAATTTGCCATGGCAACGGGGCAGTAGAGGCCAGGTTGAGGGGCTTAGTTTATTTCTGAGTGAGTGGTATCCCTGAAGCCAAGAGGGAGGGAGTCTTTGGGGGCAAGCATAGGAAGTGCCCATCAGCAGTACCTGCCTTGAATTTTTTTTTCTCTCTGTTAATTCTTGGTCCTTGGTGTAGCCCTTGATGTCTCATGGAGTATTGCCTAACACGGTTGGAAAAATAATGGATTTGGAGTGAGAGGGCATGGTTTTAAATTAGTAGGCTCTGTTATTTATAGATTGTGTGACCATGGGCACACAAGTTACTTCCCTGCTTTTCCTTAGGGAAAGGAATATAATGGTGGTCCTTGACAGCGAGGACTTCGTTGTTTCTTTTTTGTCTCTTGAGCACCCAGCACAGTGATTTGCACTTGATAGGTGCTTGTTGCAGTAAATCAATCAAATAATGGATCTGGACCAAGTAATCTGGCTAGCTCTAAATACTGTGATCCTATGACCATGAGTTAATGAGATTTCATGACAGGATGCACGCTCCAAGCAGGCTTTATCTAGGGAGGATAAGGGCCTGCTCATTTTGATGCAATGCCACCTGATTTTGATTAAGGAATTGGTACTATTTAGGTTTTAAGGCCCAAGCCAAATGGCCACATCAGACAGATGGCCTTTAGGCTCAGGGCTACCAAATAATAGCCTGGATTTCCTTATACATCTCCAAAGGTTTTCTCCTGCTGTGACCAGGGTCTGAGTGTCTTCTTTATTTATAAGCTGTGTGCCCTTGGACAAATCACTTCTCTGAGCTTCATGTATTTCCTTCTATAGGGAATGTAAACTCCCTTAAGGATAGGGACTTTTCTTTTTCTTTTTCTTTTTTGCAGGTTGGTGGTGGTGGTGGAGAAAGAGAGTCTTTGTATCCTAGGTATAGTTAAGAGTGTAGTGGAAAGAACACTGAATTTGGAGTCAGAGGACCTGTATTTGAATGAATCTCAATTCTACTTGGGTTAATCACTTAACCTTCCTAAGCCTCATTTTCTTCATCTGTAAAATGGAGTCAGACTAGCTTACCTCTAAAATCCATTCTAGTTCTAAATATATCATTCTGCGTTCTTCTTTTATGAGCAAGAGGGTAGTTCCCTGCCAGTATAGCAGGTTGCTCACTCACTCCCCTTTTCTCAAAGGATCCCTATTTCCTTCAATTTGTAAACCTCTTCTCCAACCTCTGGAGTCCTGAGCTGGCTTCTTCACTTCATTACCTTGCACAAAAGATTTTCTTGTTCCCCTCCCACCCCACTGTCTATTTTCAATTGAAAAAGGGAGAAAATGGAAAATGTTGAAAAGTTGACAAAAAAGATAAAAGTTTCTTTCAAAAATAATGTTAAATAAAACACAGAAAGAGATAACCTTTTATTAATTAATGAAAGCTTTTAGCTAGCAGCTGAACTGAGGGCATTGGGATTTTTAAAGAAAATACTATAAAGCACACCAACCTAGGGCCTGGGTACCTCTCCTGAGAGTCACTGGTCTCAGGGAGAGCAAGCCAGTGAGGGGCTGAATCTAGCCCATGGTGTTGCCAGAGACAACCTCAGGCAAGATTAGATTTTTGAGGATTGAAAACACCCAAAAATTAAAAAGAAAAAACTAGAATAAAAAAGCAAGGGACCTTAAAAGAAAAGAAAAAAATCTTATTGGATTGAACCTTACCCACTTTCTCCACTTCCCTTCCCTGGCCCTCTCCCTCCCCCCCAACAGTTTTCATCTTTGATGCTGGATGCCAAGCTAGCTAAAAACCGACATTAAGTACAATGCCGGGATGAGGGGTTGGGTTACTATTAGGCTGATGTGTTATTGAGAGAATACCCCGTTGTAGAATGGGGCTGGGTTTTTGTGACTATAGCTGGCATATGTACACACACACACATACACACAGGCTCTCCTGTAGATCACCATCAAGCCAAGCTCATCAGAAGTGCACACTTTCTCTCTTCCTGATCCCAACCATTCTGCCCATGCAATGGTGACCACGGAACCCAGGGAGAGAGAATCCTGGAGCAAGCACCTCAGGGAGCAGTGAGTCAATGGAGGGTATGAGCTACAATCGATAGGCCCCTCTCCTCAGTTGTGGGTGATGGTGTTATGTGTATGAGAGGACTGGCACTTTGAAACACAGAAGGGACCAGGGGGACCACTTCTGCACCTGGGGGAACTGAGTTCATTGCTGTAGGTAGGAGGGTATCACTGAGGAAGGGAGGAGGCTATTTTGAGATCTCTCTCAGTGGCATATTGGATTCAGGATAATGGGCCACTGAAGATTGGGAAGTTGACCTAGGATATGACACAGACTGGAAGGCCAGAGAGACACACACAGAAAGGGGCCAACAAACTATAATATATGACGTCCCTTTCCCAGGTTAAGAAGGGAACATGAGGAGAGGAGTTCTATATACCGATAGGGGCCGTGCAGGCTTTCTTCCCCTTTTTCCCAACTTCTTGACCCCATGGAAAGTTATTTTAGATTCAACTAGAGGCTTTCTCTAATGGTCCCCCCAACCCCCCAACATATACCCTTCCCTCTCCCTACCCTCTAGGGATAATAGCTTTTTCTGACCATGAACAGCTGAACCAATCTATGGCCGAAGCAGGGCTGATCCTCCTTACCATAGTTCCAATGCTATAGGTTGCAGCAGGGCCAATGGCGTGGTGGTAAGGGTCAGCAGCCGCATAGACTCTGCCGTAACTAGGGAACAAAAAGAACAGGCAAGGTGTGGTAGTGGTGGGAAGCAGATGAGATGGAAAGAAAATAAATGGGGTGAGGGATGTCTGCCTACTTCTCAAACCTAGATTTAAGTCTATTGACTTCAGACTCCCATATCAAGTAGGTCACCTTCCTTCGCTTTCCCAAGGCCTAGTATACCTCTTGCAGGAAGACTTTTTTAAAAAAGAGGTGGCTCCTATCAGCAGATAACCACATGCCCTTTTTGTTCTCCATCAGGCCCTCTGCCATTGAATGTAAGCTCCTCAAGAAATGTGGGGTAGGGCCTGTCCATGTTTTCACATATAACTTTATGTACAATATATGTTGTATTTGATGAGATAGAGAACTGAGTGACTACATGCAGATGTGGGGGCAGAAGGGTCCTAGTGAGTATGTCCAGAGTGGGAGGAAAAACGGTTTCTGGGGTGCGAATAGATCATGATAGAGTCATTATCATCAGGGTTGAGTAAGAGCCTGAGATATCTGCAATTGGTCAGCCCAACAGTGAGAGCTCCTCTGAGTTTCTGAAGCCTGAACATCTACTTTCCCTTTAAGATGGGTAGGCTTGCTTCTGGACAGTCTTATATCTCTGTATTTTTCCCCAACCTAATCTTACTTATTATTAAATTTATGATGGCAACCAAGGTCCCCCTCTGCCTTTGGACTAAAGAGACTAAATAATCTTAAGTCTTTGAAATCACCACAGACACTGAACATCTAAGTAGGGTAAGGCTCCCAATGGATGGGGCTGGGAGGGATAGTGTGATGAGAACCTTCCCCCATCACAAGAGCATAAGACTCCTAGCAGATATGGAAAGCTTGCTACAGCTGATGTCTTATGTCTGGCAGAACCGAACATCGCAGGCTACACTTCTAGGAGTCATGCTGGCTTTGCAGGATGGAGCATCAGGGCTAAATGAAATAGAATCTTGGTTCTTTGACTAGCAGAGAAGCCTTAGGATTGTGGGGAAAGGTCCTACGTGGGAAGGGTTCATCAATAACAGCTGCACCCTTCCCTCATCCTCCCACCCCTACTGTATCCTACTTTCCCTAAAAATTTTTCACTTCTCTGCAACCCCAGCTCCACCAGTTTTGTCCAGGTTCCTAAGTTGGTTGTTATGACCCTATCTCTGATCTCCAAGGAGAAAGAAGTTAAGACCTTGGGATAGAGAGAGTTGGGATGGGTATTTGCGGATCATTTTCATTCTGGGGCTGTCCCTCAGAAGTGATATCAGATAAGAGAAAGGAAAACAGTGATTAGCATAGTGCCTGGCACACAGCAGGTGCTTAATAAATACTTTTTGACTGATTAGAACTGCTCTGGCAACTAAACTAATTAACCAAAGGACAAGTATGGTGGGTGGACATGTGTCACTTTGTGCAAAAGTGAGGGACAACTTTAGTGGAGGAAGTCAGAGGGATCAGACAGTCCACGAGAGATAGAAATCCTGGACATGTACAGAGGGTCAGGGATAAAGGTTAAGAAAAGCACTTTTGACCTTATACCAAAATAAATCAAAATGGGTAACATGATTTAGATATAAAGGCTGATACTATAAGCAAACTGAGAGAGCAAAGAATAATTTGCCTGTCAGATTTATGGAGAACAGAAGAATTTATGTTGAAACAAAAGATAGAGAACATTATGAAATGCAAAATGGAAAATTTTGATTAAATTAAATTGAAAAGTTTTTGCACAAACAAAACCAATGCAACCAAGATTAGGAGGGAAGCAGAAAACTGGGAAAGAATTTTTACAACCAGTGTCTCTGATAAGGGCCTCATTTCTAAAATATATAGAGAACTGGGTCAAATTTATAAGAATACGAGTCATTCCTCAATTGATAAATGGTCAAAGGATATGAACAGGCAGTTTTCAGATAAAGAAATTAAAGCTATCTATAGTTATATGAAAAAATGCTCTAACTCACTACTGATTAGAGAAATGCAAATCAAAAAAACTCTGAGGTACCACATCACTCCTATCATATTGGCTAACATGACAAAACAGGAAGATGATAAATGCTGGAGAAGCTATGGGAAAATTGGAACATTAATGCATTGTTGGTGGAGTTGTGAAATGATCCAACCAATTTGGAGAGCAATTTGGAACTATGCCCAAAGGGCTATAAAAATGTGCATGCCCTTTGACCTAGCAATACCACTTCTAGGTCTATATCCCAAAGAGATCATACAAATGGGAAAAGGACCCACATGCACAAAAATATTTATAACAGCTCTTTTTATGATGTCCAAGAATTGGAAATTGAGGATATGCCTATCAACTGGGGAATGGCTGAACAAGTTGTGGTATATGAAAGTAATGGAATACTATTGTGCTATAAGAAATGATGAACAGGCTGACTTCAGAAAAACTTGAAAAGACTTATATGAACTGATGCTGAGTGAAGTGAGCAGAACCAGGAGAACATTGTACACAGCAATAGCCACAGTGACTAACTTTGATAGCCTCATCTCTTAGCAATGCAAGGATCCAAGACAACTACAGAGGACTCATGATGGAAAATGCTGTCCACATTCAGAAAAAAAAAAACTATGGAGTCTGAATGCAGATCAAAGCATATTATTTGCTCTCTCTTTTTATTTCTTTTTTTTTTTCTTCTTTCTTGTGGTTTTTCTCATTGGTTCCAATTCTTCTTTACAACATGACTAATGTGAAAATAGGTTCAATATGAATGTATATGTAGAGCCTATATCAAATTGCATGCCATCTTGCGATGAGAGGAGAGGAGAGATGGGGAGGAAAATTGGAACTCAAAATCTTTATGGAAGTGAATGTTGAAAACTAAAAATAAATTAATTAATAAAAATAACAGTTGGCTATATATAGACATTTAATGAAGAATTGATAATATTATCTATATTTCAATAAAAACCAGTTTATTAAAAAAGAAAAGCACTTTTGCAAATGACATGTACAGTTTTCCAGTGATAGCAACCCTGATGGTTCTTACAGAAGAATTAGGAGAAGGAAAGACCCATCTCTGGATCTGACATGTAGTACCTGTCACTTTTTATAGCCTGTTTTGTAGTCGACTCTCAGTTATCTCTGTGTACAGGGGGGAATTTCTCTAATAGAGTAGTTGAGATTCCAGAGGATCCAGAGATTCCAGTTAGTCATCTTTTAGAGACCTTTCTAGAGCCTGGTGAACAGATGGGTAGCTTGGTCAAAGGGAGACATTTGGGAAGTTAATCAAAGGCTTGAGTGGAGTTTAGGTTAGTGGAGTTTAGATTAGCTTCTCGGCTAACAGGGAATGGAGGAAGGGAGGCACTAGACCTAGGAAGAGGATGCGATGGTTCACTCCCCAGAAATTTTCTAACCTTAGATGAAGGAAGAAGAGGTCACTGGGTATTGCTGGCCAGAGGCCAGCTGGATGGGCTAAGAGCTAAAATGCTCTTTGGCTAACAAGAAGACCTGGTGAGTGGGGGGAATGACAGAATAGCATCTTCCCTTCTAGCTACAAATACCTTCCTCTTTCAGATCACCTTCATATTTTCTCTCTCTCTCCACACACACACACACACATGTATGCATGCACATATGTATAATATGCTTGTATGTACATACACGCACACAGATGTATATGTACATATATATATGCATGTATATATGTATGCTTAGTTATTTTTATGCTTCTCTCCCATTAGAACATAAGGCCAGGAACTGTTCTTTGTATTTCTAGGGTTTAGCTCAGTGTCTGACACATGGTAAGCACTTACTAAATGCCTGTTAACTGAATGACTCTTCTCCATCTAAAGGTGCACATTTTTAGTGAAGTTTAAATCCTCATGGCATGGAGGTAACCTTGGGATCTTGAAGGCTAGGCCAGCAGAGTTAAAAAAAAAAAAAAAAGAAACCCTTGCAGGGTTGCTGGAAAGGCTTTGAGTTTAGATCCAACAAAGAGTGTGTGCACGTGCACGTGTGTGTTTGCATGTACCTGCCTGCCTGAATATCTGTTGTCTCAGGACCAGTCTAGTAAGCTCATCACAGGGTGCTAGCCACCACCTGACATTTCAACCAACAGTGACTGATAAAGGCAACCAGGCACAGAGGTCTTGAGATCTGCCTTCATAGAGGGAGTATGCTCCTTTTAGATCTTTGAATTCCCGAAAAAGGTCAAATAAAATGGAGGGAATCTGGAACCCTGACTAAAAGCAGTTATACCATGGGTTGTAGCAGTTTCTGCCCAGAACCTCAAATAAGTTACAAGGGTGTGAGAGTTTTGAAAGAGCAAGAAAAGACAATTTTGCTGTTGGAGTAAGCTGTTGCAACATAGAAAGACTCTAGGGACAATCGTACCCACTACTGAGGTCTAATGACATTTGAGCCAACTTAGGAAGAAGCCAAGATTCTCTAAAGGATTCCTGAGATGGGATAGTGATTGGGATAGGTGGCAACTATTTTCTGGATGGAGCAGTAGAGCTCCGGTGTTGATAGGGAGAGCGGGGAGATTGCTATTGTCATTTATGATCATGTTCATGATTATTTATCCTTTGTCATCTGTTGAGTTTACTTACAGGGACCCACTATTCACTTCCCTTTGGCCCCACCCCCACCACATACACTTCCATACTCCAGGTTGGACTCACTTCTTACCTGTCGCTGTAAGCTGCTGCTGTTGCTGCTGGCTGAGCATATCTGTAGGCTGCATAGCCCCCCTGCAGGGACAAGAAAGACAGGAGAGAAAAGGCAGATGAGTGTTAACAGGCCTCAGTCTGAGGAGGTCTGTCTGCTGAAAAAGGATAGGGCTTGAGAACAAATCCACAGGATTAGATTTTTAGAACTAGCCCCCAAGCCCAAGTTCATTGACATATTTAGGGCATTAAAAAACATTGGAAAACAGAGAAGACCTGAGAGGGGAAAGACTAGCCTTTGGACTGCAAGGAATATTGCTCCTGATTTCTCTGCCCAGGTGGGACTAGGTTGCTAAACTGAAAAAGTCAAATACAATTTACTGGCAGGGGGAGGTTCTTTAGTGCTGTGTCATGGATTCCTTTGGCCATCTAATGAAGTCTATGTATTCCTTCTCAGAAAAATATTTTTAAATGCATGAAATAAAGCGTAAAGGAAAATTAAAAAAAACACAAAGGAAACCAATTATTGAAATATAGTTATCAAAATATCAATTTTTTTAAAAGTTCACAGACTCTCCTGAAATCTATCCTTGGGCCCCTTCAGTGTCTGGACCTTAGGTTAGGAACTTCCTTGTTTAGAGGGATAAAGAAGCCATATATCTCTCTAAGTCTTGGGGAAGGGCTCAGGGCAGATGGCATCAGAAGGCTTCCAATGAGGTCCAAGCCTTATTCATCTTTTCTAAATCAAGAAGGGGTGGTTCTCCCTGATAGGACAACACACAAGACAGTCAGTAGGTGGTACTGCTAAAGTGGGGTAGGGGTAGGAGGGGAATTTTGTAACAAAATTACAAGTTTCTAACTAATTGGAAGCAACAGGGGCAAAGAATCTTTATGAGGAATTTCTTTTTCTCCTGGAAATGCTGTGGAGTAAAGGGGTAGGGGATGAGGAAGAGGCACATTAGGGAGAGAAACAGAGAGGCTGGAAGTACAGCAAGTTGTGCTATCTGCATGTTGGGTTATATACTTTGTGGGTGTACTGTCATCCTCCTCCACCATTAAGAGGTAATGAGAGGCAATGCTATCAAAGCTGACATGATTAGGAATAGCAATCTGTTGTCTCATCTCTTCTCCTGCCCCACTCCTCCCCCTCCAACATATGGTCTTTCCTTGGTGATGGTTGTCCTTTGTTCTAGAAGACCAAAATGACATCGCTATGTTAGAGTTAGGTGTCAGTGTGTCCAACCGTGGCTGATCAGACCAATACAAGCTGGGAAGGCTCTACCACAGGTCGGGCACAAATAGTTCATTCTGTCTTTCATACAGGAAAATCAATGTCATTTGGTTACTTTGGATTATTCCTACCCCGCTTTCCTAACATGCACAAATAGTTGAGAGTTAACTATAATGGGCCACAGGAAAACAAAGGCAGGGCACACAGAGTTGATACCCTCTCTGTCTGTATGTTCCCCTATTGTGCTGGGCCCTGGGATCATCTGAACTGTGGGAGATATCCCATTAGCTTAAGCACAATTATGGGGGAAGTAGGGTTTTATCCCCTGAAATGGGTAGCTATGGGGGTGAGGCACACTTACATAAATCTCTGCGCCATAAAATCCATCCTGATACACGACCCTGGAAGCAAACGGACAAGAAAGTGGTGGGAACGCTGGAGAGGTGGGGTAGGCCGGCTCCGGTGTCTGCTGAGGAGGGAGGGGGCATGGTGCCAGCCCTGCCCATGGGACTGGCATTTTAACAAGCGTTTGCTCCAGTGCCCTGTTTTGGTATAACAATAGAGTAACACCCTTGCTATAGTCAGCAACTTTTTCCCCACAAGCCTAGGGGGCCTCTCAGCCCCAGTTTCATTTACTACCCCCACCCCCAACCATCCCCACCCTCATCCAGGGGAACTGTGATACCCATTAAGCATCAGAGGGCACTAGGACCCTGAGATGGATGGGGTTTGTCCTCAGTTCCTCAGGGAGGCAGCTGGGGCAAAACCATAAATGGAACCCTGGTCTTCCAGTCCTGAGGATCTCTGGAATCCTCAACATTCTGAGGGACACAAAAGATGCTCAGAGGTACCACTAGTGTTATGGTCTTGTAGGTCTCTGACTAAGGGCCTCGAGTGAACAATTTTAGAAAAGTTTCTGGATTGTTCATCATTCCATACGGATAAGGACTAGATATGTGATATCTACAGGAATTCCCAGGTGAACTACCTCTACCAATACGCGTCAGCACCTTTTGTGCAACTTGGAGTCTTAGAGAGTTGCTTAGGAAGCTGAGAGAGTAAGTGATTGCCCAGGATGCACATAACCTGTATATATATCAGAGGTCTTCATGGCTTTGAGGCCAGCTCCCTATCTGCTGGTCCCATCTGGCCCCTTTAATATGACCAGGAATATTGGAGAACAGAGGCAGTTTGATATAGTGGATAGGGCACGGGCCTTGAAGTTAGCATGGCCTTAGTTCAAATTGTGCCTCAGAAAGGCCCTGTGCCTCTGATTATTCATCTGTAAAGTGAAGCAGTTGGATTCAGTGACCTCTACGTCTCTTCCAGTTCTCAATCTATGATTCTGTGATCCTAGTTTGTAATTTCCCAAAATGTTCCTCAAGCAATTTATACTTTCTTTTTTTCCCCCCAAGTTGACCAAGTTTTCCCCCTTTGCCTCTCTGGACTTCTCAGACTTCTGTCCCCCTTCCTTGGCCCCATTCCTTCTCCATCTCTCTACACCTGGAATGTCCCAAACAAGCCACCAGGAACTCCCCATCCTAGGTACTCACGCGCCATATGTTGGAATGGGGGGAGGAGGTGGTGCGGCCCGGAATGTGTTATAGACAGCCCGTCCCCGACCTCGTAAGTGTGCCCCTCGGTATGCTACTGCTGTGCCTGTTGTGGGGTACGGGAATCCTGTCACTGCAGAGAAAGAGGAAGAGAAAAGGAGAGTCACCACATGGAATCACCCAACAGAAAAAAGAAATGAGGGTCAGGGGAAGGAGGTCAAGTAAGCTTTTACCTGAAAGGAAGCAGGAGCATCCAATATCTTGCTAAGCCCTCTCCTACATTTATCTCTGATCCCCTGATGCTCCCTGTTCAGGCTCAAAAGCAGGGGCAGGGCCCCTAATAATATTTCCTTTGGTTCTACCCTATTCTTCCTTCCTGGCCCTGAGTAATGGGGCATTGCCCTATAAGTTACCTTGAGACTAATGATAACTAAACAATAGCCACCCCTTTGTTGGGGTGGGATTGCTATATGTGCCTGGGAGAGCCTTCTCTTAGGATCCTGCCATTTCTCCCCTCCCCTTGCTCAGGTCTCAAAAACGACATGTGCTTCTCCTTCCCTACACTTTACCTGCATAGAATTCGGGTCCATACACAGCACCCACCACGGGGTTTAGCTTCCAGCCTGGGATAGAAATAAAGAGGGACAGTTAGTATGTCCAGACCACTTAATCACCCCACTTCCCACCAAACTACCATGTATCTCTGCTCTCTCTGAACTTTCTCCACATCCCATCCTATTCCCTTGCATTTAGGCTGCCCCAGAGCAGGGGACACCATGGGGAAGTGCTAAGTACTCCTGAAATGTTTTAAGCTTTAAGTTGGACATTTTAAAGGTACTAGAGAAAGCAGGCCAGGAATACCAGCCACAGATTGCATCCCCTGCCCCACTGTGACCAGAGGCAGCCAAATGAATGAAAGTCTGAGAAGAGAGGAATGGAACCTAAGACTCCTCGACATCTCAGTTCCCCAATTTTTCAGCTGAGCTATGCTATCATCACCACTGCTATTGATAGGAATAAGAACAGGCCAGTCTCTCAGAGGTACTGCTAAGCCATCTGGGTTTGTTTCTTTTTCTTGGCTCTTCTATATAAATAATTTCCAATTATCTAACCTTGTGGGTTATTCCATCCAGGCCCCGCCCCCATCCCCACCCCCCAAACCCTGACCCCAGGCCTGCTCCTCTGTCAGTGGTTGTGTGCTCTGGGAATAAAACTCCTTTTAACATCAACCTAAGAAAAAAAGAATCATGAGGGTAAAACAACTAAATGGTATATATATATATCCCATCAGTTTTATTTATGCCACAACTTCCCTAGGTTAGAACTAATAATTAAGAGTTGAATGTACTTGGTATGTAACATCAATTAAATTATGGTGCTCCATTTCTATCCCTTGAAACTACCTTGGTCTTCTTTTTACTTCTGTTCTTGGTGCCACATCTGGTCTTTTGCCAGATGATATTTACTGATTTCTCCCCCTTCCCCTTTTCAAAGGAGCATCCTCTCTTGCTAGAGGAGGGGAAGAGGGAATCCAGGTGAGGTTGGAGGATAGGGCTAAAGGGTACGTTAATGTCCCTAATGTCCCTGGGAATGGGGCAGAGAAGGAATGGGAGCAAAGAGTTGAAATTACCTATTATGAATATATCACACCTCTTAATGATAACATTGTGATTTTTCTGTAATTCATCATCTATTTATTTCCAACACAGTTGTCTATAATGCACTTCTATTGCAGGATCACAGATTTAAAGCCAGAAAGGTCATATGAAAATTTTGCCAATGAAGAATAGGGCAGTTAAGCAATTTGACTCGATTTCATACAGGTAGTAAATGGGAGAGCTAGGATTTGAACTCATATATCCTCTGACTCCAAGTTCTGTGCTTTTTTACATTATAGGATGCTCATAGAATCACTCAAAATTTTAAAATATATGTGCAGAATATGGGTTAATAAAGAAAAAGGCAAGGTTTGGCTTTTTAAGAATAATGGGAGCAACTTTAACACCCAGGATAAACTAAGGCTTATAAAGAATATTAAGGACAGCAAAAAGTTCTATTTTAGTTATGTAGGTGGCAGGACAAATAGAAAGATTTTTAAAAAGCATAGGGCCAATGCCTGTGGGGTAGATTTCCTTCTATTCCTGGCAAAAGTAGTTTGCCTTTCCTAATTATGTGGAAGTGAGCTTAACTTTGATTCTTTGGAAAATTCTAGAAAAGATCGTTAAAGAGATGGCTGGTGAACAGCTAGAAAGGCAAGCAGTAATTCCAAAGAGATAACCTGGCTTCATCAAGAGCAAGTCATACCAGTCTTTCTTTTATTTTTGACAGGATTACTAAATCAAATGAGGGAAATGCTATGGATATAGTTTATGTAGAGTTTAGCTAAACTTTATTTTATTTTTAATTGATTATTTTTTAGTTTTCAACATTCACTTTTTTTTTTGAATCAGGAAGAAACTTTATTAATGGCCTGGGAAGTCTGGGCATCCCATGTGTGAGGGCACACATGTCAGACATCAACATTCACTTTTTTAAAAATTTTTTTGCTTTTTTGGTGAGGCAATTGGGGTTTGACTTGCCCAGGGTCACACAGCTAGTAAGTGTCAAGTGTGTGAGGTCAGATTTGAACTCAGGTCCTCCTGATTCCAAGGCCAGAGTTCTATCCACTTCTCCACCTAGCTGCCCCATTAACATTCACTTTTGATAAAGTATCTCAAACTGTCCTTGTGGGAAAGATGGGTGAGATCTGCATTAGCTAATATAATCAGATGGATAAAAAAACTGATCGAATGGCTGTGGTAGGAGATCTCCAGTGGAATATCCCAGGGATCTGTGCTGTTTCACATTTTTATCAATGACTTGGATAAGATGACATTCTCATCAAATATGCAGATATGACATGAAGCTGAGAGGGCAGCTAACACAGTTGATGATAGATTTGAAAAGGACCTTCATAGGTTAAAGCATTGGGCTGAAGTTGAATTTCAATAGCGATAAGTGTAAAGTCTAACACTTGGGTGTTAAAATCAACTTCACAAGGATAAGATGGGGAAGATATGATTGGAAAGCTATTGTGAAAAAGATCAGAAGGCTTTAGTGGACCTCAAGCTCAAAATGAATCAGCAATGTGATGTGGAAGCCAGAAAAGCTAAAGCCAACTTGGGTTTCATTAAAGAGGGACAATGCTTCCAGGAAAAAGGAGATGATAATCTGACTCATGTCAGACCTCATCCATTCTGGGTTCAGTTCTGGGTTCTGTGGTTTAAGAAGGACATTGATAAGTTGGAGAGTGTCCAGAGGAGGGCAACTGGGATGGTGAACAGCCATGAGTCCATGTCATAGTGGGATGTGTTAAAGAAACTAGGCATATTTAACCTGGTAGAAGACAGACTTGGGGGCTATCTTCTGTATTTGACAGACTAATAGGGGTGGGGAACCTGTGGCCTTGAGGCCACACATGGTCCTCTAGGTCCTCAAGTGCAGCCCATTGACTGAATCCAAACTTCACCACATGTGGCCTCAAGGCCACAGCTTCCCCACCCCTGCTAGAATGTGGAAGAGGTATTAGACTTGTCTTATTTGTCCCTAGAGGGCAGAACCAGGAGCACTAGCTGGAAGTTGAAACAAGGTAAATTTGACCTTGGTGTCAGGAAAAAATTCCTATCAATTGGAGCTGTCCAAAAATGCAATGGGCTCCCTTCAGGAGGAGTGGAATTCTTTCCTTGGAGGTATTCAGGCAGAGGCAGGATGACTACTTGTCAGGTATATTTTAGTGGGTATTCCTTTTGGGTATGAGTTGGGCCAGATGGCTACTGAGGTCACTTCTACCTCTCAAATTTTGTGATTCTATTATCACGGGTAATGAAGAGAAGAGAATTACTCAGTTATTTTGCCTCTGTTTTCTGTACCATGGAGAATGACTTTCAGAGTGATAATTATGAAATAAAAAGGGTTAACTGGGCATCCAGACCCAAGGTAAGGGAGCTCTAACTGAACACCTTGGCTGTTTTCAATGAGTTCACTGAGTCACCAAGACAGAATGAACTTAAGGACATGATTGCTGAGACCCTGTTGGGATCTGATACTTTATACTAGTGAGATCTCCATCAACCCACGTAATGTTTCTGGGCCTCACTTTCCTGACTGGTAAAAATGAGGAAATTGAACTAGATGCCTCTAAGGTCCCTTGTAGGTGTAAATCTGTGAATAGTCATGGAGAGTGTGGAGTACTATAGGACTGAAGATAGGCAAATGTACTGATTTTCATAAAGGGAAAGAACACATTCTTGAGACTCTGGGCCATTGGGTTTGCCCTCAATTCCTTGAAATTTTTTTCAGATTGTATCATCAATGGCATAGGCAATAAGCCCTTGGAAAAGGAAGGGATCACTATGAGCTAGTATGTGCTTTGAATGACAAAATTAGAATCCAAAAAGATCTCAACAGCCTAGAATAATAGGCTATCGCTTGTTGTTATTATTATACCAATAGCTCACAACATGGCTTATGGTTTATTTACTGAGTCCCTTCTTGCAGCAACGTTGTGAGGTCAGCAGTGAGGATGTTATTATTTCTATTTTACAATGAGGAAACTGAGGTTCAGAAAGGTTAAGTAACCTGCACATGATAACAAAGCTACTATAGTTATGCCACTTCACTATCTTAGATTCTTTTTCTATAAAAGGGTAATAATTATAGTTGTGTTAGCTAGTTCACAGGCTTGTCCTCAGTAAAGAGCTTCAGATACCTTAAAGCACTATATAAATGTAAGCCATTTTTATTACAATCGAATAAGATAAAAATGAATGGAAAAATGTAAAGTTTTGTATTTGGATTCAAAATTTCAACTATAAAATACATCATGGAGAGATAGATATCAATTCACGTAAAAAGGAATAGAAGCTTTTAAAAAGGGGCAGTAAGCTCCATTAAGCCAACATTGACATTATAGCCAAAAAATCCTAATGTGATTAGAGCTGCAATAATACAATTGTAATATACATACATAGTGCTTAGAAAGAGGGAATAATCCTCAGACACTATGTGACCCTGGGTAAGTCACTTAACCCTGATTGCCTCCAAAAAAAAAGAAAGAAAGAAAGAAAGAAAGAAAGAAAGAAAGAAAGAAAGAAAGAAAGAAAGAAAGAAAGGAAGGGAATCATATTCACTGAAATCTACCCTTGACAGACTATATGTGGAGTATTCTGTTCTGTTTTGGGTGGAAGAACAGAAGAACAATGACAAGTCGGAGTGCACCCACATGATCAAAATGGCGAGGGGACTTGAAATCATGACATATGAGAATGAGTTGAAAGAAGTAGGAATGTTTAGCCTGCAGAAGCAAAGACTTGGGCAGGGACACGACAACTATTTTCTAGTATTTGAAGGGCTGTCATATGAGAGAAAAATTAGATTTACTTTGCTTGATCCCAGAGGACAGAACTAAGAGCATTAGGCAGTAGTTATAGAGAGGCAGATCTTGGCTAGATAGATGGAAAAACTTGCTCATAATTAGAGCTGTCCAGAAGCAGAATCGGCAGACTCTGGAGGTGGTAAGTTCCCCATTTCAAAATGAGGTTAGGTAACCCTTTGTGTAAGTAATGTACAGATAGATGGGGGCTCT